ATAAAATTTGTTTCGAGAATACTAAGTGCTAGTCTGTTAGATTTCATCCACTCTGCAACTGCTTTTAGCACACTATTTAACTTTAGTTCAAGTTTGTAAAGGTTCTTACAAGAGCAGTAAATGTTAGTGTCATCTGTAAATAAGTGAAAGGTGAGCAATTTTGAAGCATTAGGTAAGTCATTGATTTACAACAAAAACAAAAAAGGTCCAGGAACAGATCCTAGAGGAACCCCACAAGTGACTGATGGGGAATCAGTGTCATGACCATTAACACACACAAATTGTTCTTTGTTGGATAGATAACATTGAAACCAATCATAGACTTTACCTCTTTCTCCATAATGATGCAATTTCAACAAAAGAATAGATTGATTTACTGTATCAAAGGCTTTTTATAAATCAATGAAAATACCACAGCCAAACTCACTGTTGTCAATTGAGTAACGAATAGATTCAGTGATACTTTTAAGTGTGTGATTGGTTGAACACTTCTGCCTGAAGCCAAAATGAAGTGAGTAGAGAATATTATGACATTCAAGATAACCATATAGGCACTTATACATAGCTTTTTCATATATTTTCCTTAAAAAAGATAGCACTGATATTGGCCCATAATTATCTTTGTCTTGTCTAGTGCCTTTCTTGAAAACCAGAGTAACTCTTGTCAATTTAAGTTCATTTGGAAAAATGCCACAGAGAAAAGAATCATTAATTAAGGACGAAAGAAGTAGAGATATATGGTTTTAAGAACTTTTAGCAATGTGACTGGAATACTGCAAGGACCTATAGATTTGTTATTGTCCATTTGAGATATGTACGTGGACCTTCCAACTCTCACCATGTCGTCGTGAGACTCACGATTTCAAGACTCATCTCATGGTCTCACGATTTAACTTCGAAATCTCACGGTTTTCCACAATGAACTAGACGCTCGAGGAGCATTCACTCGGGCTTAATTTAAAGCTATAGCATTCGCACAAAACAGGCGTACAATTCTAATATACATTCTATGCATAGCGAGATCTGAATTGTTGTACTTTTATTGACACTGTAACATCATTATGTTCCTGTACAGTGGTCATATTGAAAACTTTTTCGAGTAGATGACAGTAAACACCGTGTCTTCTATTAAGTACTTACAACTCCATGGGAAGAGCAAACCAACCTTCACGATATATCGCTTTTATAATAGTAATATTGGTTATGTACGAAAGACCAAATCGTACTTTACAAGTATTGAACCCAATAACAACCAATAACAGAAACAGGATTTTTAACAGAAGAGCTAAGCTTAAATATTCAACCTTACTAGTCAAGTTGCTTCTGTCAGTATCCTAATCCAATTCGCTGTTGTTCGCGCCACCTTCGAAGTTGTGTTCGCGAACATTCTAATTTTGATCAGCAAGTGAGGTGTTCGTCTCCGCGTCATAGTTTGTTGTTACATCGGCTGTTCCAGTTGTGCCAAAGTTTTCGTAATTTGAACTCGCATATGGCTCATTTGTTATCTCGCAAGAACTAGTATGAACTTTGCACATTTGGCTAGCTTTCGAGCCATAGAGTTCGTGGACCGGTCCATTCCGAAAACGCTCGACACCATTTAGCGTAGGCCCACCACAAACGGCGTGTGCGTTTGTATGTGAGATGAGCGTATAAGACAGGAATCTTCGCCACATGTTCTTCACCAAACACAGCATTCTGTAAAGTATGTTTATTACAAAGAGCGAGTTCATGATAACGCAACGAAAGTTGTCACACTCTTATCCCCAGTTTCCGCAGTTTAAGCAAGGAACGCCTGGGACTATTACTCCCCTATTGGCGACTAACAACGGCTTGCATTTTAAGACTCGGGCTTTCCTACGAAAGCCCGATTAACTTTAATCCCAGTCAGATATGGCCTAAAATGAACTCAATTTACAAAATAATAGTTGCGAATGGCCACGTGGATTTCTCCTCACTGGGAATCTAGGCCGAGCTATTTTTAAACCTTATTCTGAGGTGCAATCAGAGCGTGAAGTTCCCTTGGAAGGCTTTCTTTCATATGTTCAGTATGGCGGAACGAACTGAGCGATCCTTTGAACACGTCCAAGACCCTCCTATCGGTGTTTTATGCAATGATGAGCACAAATGAGCGCCACATAATTAAGGTACTTGTTTGTCTAATTTGTGTTAGTTAATGCTAAAAATACACTAATTATGGTAATTTGAACACTGCTACGTATAATTGTTAGCGTTGAGATTCATTCGTTTTGAAACATTTTTTGTAAATCTCACAATTTGGTCCTGAAAATTTGTATTGTAGTTTTTTATCAGCTGACACACAATAGATGCACTTCCTAAAAATACTTGGCAAGTTTGTTGCTTGATGTTAAAGATTATTCAGATCATGAATTAGATGATTTAAACTGGGAGGAAAAGTCAAGGTTAATTCAGAGTGACCCAGTGACATGTGCACAACATTTTGGTTACCAATTCAATCAGCTTTTAAGAAACCTTCTAATGAGCAATGCTGCTCTCTTAGGAAAAATTTCAGACTGGTTTCAGAGTTGAATACCAGCAGAGAAAATTCAGACAGATTTAAAGACAAAAAATAGAAATTGATACCCCGTAGTGATTCAAAGAATGCTAATAAACTCTGTCAGCCAGAGTCTTGGTCACAAGGCAAGGCTGTACATTATACCACTGTGAAATGAGAATTAACCAACATACATGTATAGATTCATATTTGAAACAGACCACACAAATGACAAGATTTCTTTCATTTGATTAGAAATCAGCAGTAATAGCACTAATAGCAATAATAATTAGAGCAATAGTTTTCATAATAATAAAGTAAACAAACTGTCTTTCATTTAAACAACAACAAACATATGAAACATATGTATGAACTGCGGTTATGAAACGTATATATGCACGATCCTTCGCAGTAAAGCACTATTTGAGCAATAGTGAAAATCAGACCTGAAAAAAATTTCAGGCCTGTACGGGATTCGAACCACTGACCTCTGCGATACTAGTGCAGCGCTCTACCAATTGAGCTAACAAGCCAACTGGGAGCAGGCCATCAAATTAATTCGACATAAACCCGTAGATGATAAATCAAACAACAACAAACATATGAAACATATGTATGAACTGCGGTTATGAAACGTATATATGCACGATCCTTCGCAGTAAAGCACTATTTGAGCAATAGTGAAAATCAGACCTGAAAAAAATTTCAGGCCTGTACGGGATTCGAACCACTGACCTCTGCGATACTAGTGCAGCGCTCTACCAATTGAGCTAACAAGCCAACTGGGAGCAGGCCATCAAATTAATTCGACATAAACCCGTAGATGATAAATCAAACAACAACAAACATATGAAACATATGTATGAACTGCGGTTATGAAACGTATATATGCACGATCCTTCGCAGTAAAGCACTATTTGAGCAATAGTGAAAATCAGACCTGAAAAAAATTTCAGGCCTGTACGGGATTCGAACCACTGACCTCTGCGATACTAGTGCAGCGCTCTACCAATTGAGCTAACAAGCCAACTGGGAGCAGGCCATCAAATTAATTCGACATAAACCCGTAGATGATAAATCAAACAACAACAAACATATGAAACATATGTATGAACTGCGGTTATGAAACGTATATATGCACGATCCTTCGCAGTAAAGCACTATTTGAGCAATAGTGAAAATCAGACCTGAAAAAAATTTCAGGCCTGTACGGGATTCGAACCACTGACCTCTGCGATACTAGTGCAGCGCTCTACCAATTGAGCTAACAAGCCAACTGGGAGCAGGCCATCAAATTAATTCGACATAAACCCGTAGATGATAAATCAAACAACAACAAACATATGAAACATATGTATGAACTGCGGTTATGAAACGTATATATGCACGATCCTTCGCAGTAAAGCACTATTTGAGCAATAGTGAAAATCAGACCTGAAAAAAATTTCAGGCCTGTACGGGATTCGAACCACTGACCTCTGCGATACTAGTGCAGCGCTCTACCAATTGAGCTAACAAGCCAACTGGGAGCAGGCCATCAAATTAATTCGACATAAACCCGTAGATGATAAATCAAACAACAACAAACATATGAAACATATGTATGAACTGCGGTTATGAAACGTATATATGCACGATCCTTCGCAGTAAAGCACTATTTGAGCAATAGTGAAAATCAGACCTGAAAAAAATTTCAGGCCTGTACGGGATTCGAACCACTGACCTCTGCGATACTAGTGCAGCGCTCTACCAATTGAGCTAACAAGCCAACTGGGAGCAGGCCATCAAATTAATTCGACATAAACCCGTAGATGATAAATCAAACAACAACAAACATATGAAACATATGTATGAACTGCGGTTATGAAACGTATATATGCACGATCCTTCGCAGTAAAGCACTATTTGAGCAATAGTGAAAATCAGACCTGAAAAAAATTTCAGGCCTGTACGGGATTCGAACCACTGACCTCTGCGATACTAGTGCAGCGCTCTACCAATTGAGCTAACAAGCCAACTGGGAGCAGGCCATCAAATTAATTCGACATAAACCCGTAGATGATAAATCAAACAACAACAAACATATGAAACATATGTATGAACTGCGGTTATGAAACGTATATATGCACGATCCTTCGCAGTAAAGCACTATTTGAGCAATAGTGAAAATCAGACCTGAAAAAAATTTCAGGCCTGTACGGGATTCGAACCACTGACCTCTGCGATACTAGTGCAGCGCTCTACCAATTGAGCTAACAAGCCAACTGGGAGCAGGCCATCAAATTAATTCGACATAAACCCGTAGATGATAAATCAAACAACAACAAACATATGAAACATATGTATGAACTGCGGTTATGAAACGTATATATGCACGATCCTTCGCAGTAAAGCACTATTTGAGCAATAGTGAAAATCAGACCTGAAAAAAATTTCAGGCCTGTACGGGATTCGAACCACTGACCTCTGCGATACTAGTGCAGCGCTCTACCAATTGAGCTAACAAGCCAACTGGGAGCAGGCCATCAAATTAATTCGACATAAACCCGTAGATGATAAATCAAACAACAACAAACATATGAAACATATGTATGAACTGCGGTTATGAAACGTATATATGCACGATCCTTCGCAGTAAAGCACTATTTGAGCAATAGTGAAAATCAGACCTGAAAAAAATTTCAGGCCTGTACGGGATTCGAACCACTGACCTCTGCGATACTAGTGCAGCGCTCTACCAATTGAGCTAACAAGCCAACTGGGAGCAGGCCATCAAATTAATTCGACATAAACCCGTAGATGATAAATCAAACAACAACAAACATATGAAACATATGTATGAACTGCGGTTATGAAACGTATATATGCACGATCCTTCGCAGTAAAGCACTATTTGAGCAATAGTGAAAATCAGACCTGAAAAAAATTTCAGGCCTGTACGGGATTCGAACCACTGACCTCTGCGATACTAGTGCAGCGCTCTACCAATTGAGCTAACAAGCCAACTGGGAGCAGGCCATCAAATTAATTCGACATAAACCCGTAGATGATAAATCAAACAACAACAAACATATGAAACATATGTATGAACTGCGGTTATGAAACGTATATATGCACGATCCTTCGCAGTAAAGCACTATTTGAGCAATAGTGAAAATCAGACCTGAAAAAAATTTCAGGCCTGTACGGGATTCGANAAAAAACCACAACAAGGGACAGATGTGAGAGCAGTAAGAGGGAAGAACCGTATTTTATAGGTGATCGACATTTATTTTCAGGTGCTGCCCATAAGAAAAGGGTCAGTGTCTCGATTTTATTCATGCCTTAACTTACCCACATCGATCGAATGCGCACATATTCTTTATATTTTCGCCATATTTAAAGGTTTTACAGTTGACTGAGTCGCCAGTGAGGCCTGTAAAGGTCCCGGATGTGACCGGAGATTCTACGCGACGGCACGATCCTTCGCAGTAAAGCACTATTTGAGCAATAGTGAAAAGTCAAGAAGTGGCTTGTGAAAAGTGGCTAGTCAAGAAGTGGCTTGTGAAATGTGAGTCACGGTCATTATCCAATATCACCAGTTGTTATGAACTATTTTACTAAATCCATTTAGTAGACCTGTTTGTCATAGGACTATCATTGTAGTACTGTTACAGTTTCAAAACTCATGTTCCTTTTTCCCCTTCTCATCAAACAGACTTCATTCAGAAGCATCACTTAGAGAGGACATGCGTACATGACAATAGTACTGTGTTACAGTTCTCCTGGGATGAAGAATACAGCTTACTGAACAGTCTCTCAAGATTACATCAAGTTACTTCTGTCAAGTAACCACAGCAAAACAACATACTGCACAATGCATGTTACCTCAACGACAAAGTTATACTTGGATCACTTTAATCTGCACTTTTATTTTATACGGATATTACATGATAGAGATATTTTATTTCATACGGATGCCATGAACGACTTCATGATGCATACCTGAGCTTTAAGAAGTTCTTGGACAATACTCGAGTATATCTCCCACCTACTTTGTTTCGCATTGTTGTTTATAGTTCTCGTCATTAACTTGGACGACCTGACACATTGTACACGCTGCCGTTTAGCCTGCTTCATTGTTCTGCCTCGTAGGCACGCTGTTGTTCAGTTCACCTCAGTGTCACACGGTTGGCGCATATATTTAATGCGGCTCGATCTTTTTTTTGCCCGCTCGTTCTTTTTATGTATGTCTCTTGCCTTCGGTCAATAAACGTCTTCTCTTGCTCGGAGTTTCGGCTCAACTTATTGGCGTCCGGCAGACGTGACTGTGACTTTCGTCAGCTTCTGCAGATGGTGAGCTTTCTTTCTTTTGATTTTTTTCCTTTATCGGTCATCGTAAGGGAGTTAGAGTTGGAGTAATATTATTAAATCTATCAAATTTACAAATGCTCTTTCAATACGGCCTTCGCAAGCTTTATAATTGAGAGAACTCGGAAACGTAACCATTAGCAACGTTTATCAATACAGGTTAATCGTAACACTCTTCGTTTGCTGCTGCAACAGAAACAACAAGATCTCAAAAATTTAAAATTCTGCCCTGTACACCATTAAAAGAGAAGCAGCCTGTTAATCGGGAGCTCTTTTCAGAAC